CTGGAAAGTTCTCTCTAACTCTCTAAGTTAGCTCACAGGGAAGGTTTTTTGAGAGGAATTGGATCAAGAGGGCCTTCTACTCACGGGTGGATTCACCCACCGAACTGATATGATAGAGCCTAGTGGTAGAAGGCAGGCACTGGAGAGTTAGTTGGAAGGATGCATCTCCCCCAGTCTCTGTTTCTCTCTGCTTCCTGTTCACCACAATGTAAGCAATTTTTCTCCATGCAAGGCCCTTCCACCATGAAGCTGCTGCCTTGAAACCAACTTACTATGGCCTTAACTTTAATCCAAAATAAGTTTTGTCTCTCTTAAGCTGTGGTTATCAGATATTTTGTTCTAGCAATGAGAAGGTGCTTTAAAAAATTTCATCATAACTTGCCCCAAGTTATAGATACAAAGCCAGAGAATTTAACATTTGACCTGCTTTGTTTTGGTTCATTCTTTTCTACATACTTATTTCTCCCTTTTGGAAAGATAAAGTTTTTTTGCACCATATTATTTTCTTTTTGATTTTTTTTTTTTTTGGAAGGGGGATTCTGGGGATCAAACTCACAATCTTGCACTTGCCAAGCAGGTGCTTAGGCTGCTGAGCTAAATCCCCAGCTCTTTTCGATTTTTACAGAGGCTCAAGATAAAGGGTTTCCTTGTTTATCAGAGGAGAATTTAGATTTAGACATGTCTGTAATGCTTTCATGATTAAAACTTTAGAAATCTTTAGAGATGGACTGAGTGCATTTTGCATTAAAAGACATACACAAAACTTTTGGGGGCCAGAGGTAAAATGTAGTTTGCAACAAAATATTCATGGTGTGGATTCGGGAATGTGCTTGAATCATGGAGAGACCATACTCTTTGGGGATTCAGCTACAGAGAAAGTCAGCAGCTGAGTACACTGCAAAACGAAAGGGCTTCGCGGGAAGAGGCAGGTCTTTGGGCACACGACCCGGAAGGGTGCATCTTCTTCCCCAGTACTTCCTTGTCTTTTTTCTTCTGGTCACCACGATATGAGTTGTAGTTTTCCCACTTACCAGACCTTTCCACTATGCTGCTTCTGCCTTGAATCCAGCTAAGTGGAGACTGTACAAGTGACTCAAAATACTCCACAGTGGCCTTTCCATGTTGCTTCTGCTTCAGGACAATGTGTAAAGATGAACTGAAACTTCTGAAACTAAACCTTCCTTCCTTTAAATGGTAGGTGTCAGGTATTTGTCCCAGAAGTGGAAAAGCTGACCAACACAACCAGTATCAAGTTGGTTTCATTCCAGAAATGCCAGGATGGTTCATGAATCAAAGACTGAAAACCACCTGTTCATCTCAACTGACATAGAAATCTTTGGCAAATTTTAACATCACTTCTGGTAAAAGTCTTAAACAAGAGTAAGTATTAAAGGATTATGTCTCTATATAATAAAGGCCACATACAACAAACCATGGCAATGTCATACTAAATAGGGAAAACTTGAAACATTTACTTTAAATTCAGGAATGAGACAAAATATCCATTCTCAGAAGTCCTATTCAATATGGTACTTGAAATTTTAGCCATAGCAATTAGGCAAGATAAAAAAATAAAAACAACACAAATAGAAAAGGAGAACTCAAATTATTATTTGTATACAATATAATCCTATATATCAAGTTCTTAAAGACTGCACCAAAGTATCAGGACATAAAATCAATGTTTTAAAACCTATAAGCATTCTATATGCAAATTATGAAGAATAAGAGGGAAAATTCCATTTACAATAGTTCAAAAATACCTAGGAATCAACCTAACCCATGATGTAAAATACCTCTAAATGAAAACTGCAGAACACTAACAAAAGACATTGGAGAAGACCATCTTCAAAAGAATCCAGGGACCATCCACAGAAGATGAAAAGACAACCTATATTTATAAATTGGCAGAAATCATATTGTTAAAATGCCCTTACTACCAAAAATGATCCGAAGATTCAGTGTAATTCCCCATCAAAATTCCAATAACATTCACAGAATTAGAAAAGTATTCCTAATATTCATATTGAAACACAAAAGACTGAGAATATTCAAAGCAGTCTAAAGCACAAAGCAATGCTGGAAGCATTACAATACTACAATACTTGATTTCAAACTTTATTATCAAACCAAAATAAAAACAGCATGGTTTGAGCACAAAAATAGACATGTAGAGTAATAGACTAGAAGTCACAGAATCAAACTTACATAACTACAGTCATCTGATGTTTAACAAAGAAACCAAAAACACATAGTGAAGAAAGGATCACTTCTATAATACATGGTGCTAGAAGTGGATATTCATATGTAGAAGATTTATACCAAACCCTAATTCTCACCCTGTATGAAAAATCAATTCAAGATAAAACAAAAACCTAGGTCTAAGACTTGAAACTTTGAAACTGCTGCAAGAGAACATAGGGGAACACATGCCATAGGCATTGGTGAAGATTTCCTGAGTAGAATTACAATAGCACAGAAAATAATAACAAGAACCAAACCATGTGAATACCTTCAGTTAAGGAGATTCTATACAACAAATGAATCAACAGAGTGAAGAGATAGCCTGCAAAATTGGAGAAAACCTTTGTCAGCTTCTTTTTCAACCAAGGATTAATACATAGAATACAGGGAGTATATTGGGGATAGATAGGATAAAAATATATTACATATATTGAACCAAGGGTTTTTAAAATTAATTAGCACTAAGATAATAGTAAAACACAAAATTTTTAATGTTCCCCTAAAAATAGCACAATCAATAAACAGGCAAAGAATTGAACTGACACTTCTCAGAAGAATACAAATAGTAAGTATATGAACAGATGCTCAGAATTTTTAGCCACTAGGGAAATGCAAATTAAAACTATTAAGATTCTATAATACAAGTCAGAATGCCAATAATCAAGAATAAAAAATAATAAATATTGGCAATAATATAAGAAAAAGGAAAACCAATTACACTCTTGGTAGGTATGCAAATTAGTATATTCACTATGTAAATAACTTCATAGTTTCCTCAAAAAGCTAAGAATAGAATTGTCAGATGACTCAGGTATACCACACCTGAGTATACAATCAAAGGAATCTGAGTTGGTATGCTATATGCCCATATCTATGTTTATTGTGGAACAGTCACAATAGTCAGGATATGGAATTAGCCTAGGTACTCATTAATGGATAAATACTAAAAAAAAAAATGTAGCCAATTTCACAATGGAATATTTACTCATTCTCCCCAGACAACAATGAAATATGTCATTTGCAGAAAAATATGGATACAATTATAGATTACTGACTGTGTTAAACAGAATGAGCCAGAGCCAAAAAGTAGCATATTCCATGTTTTCTCTAATATATGGTATCTAAAAAAAAAGCAGACTGTACCAGGGAAACTATTACTACACAAGAAGAAGCGAATAAAGAGGAAAGGGGGTGGGATACAAATCAGGGCAGAGGGGGAAGACATAATTACAACGTCATGTGCATATATGGAAATGCCACACGAAAATAAAATACCTGGTCAAATTAATTTGCACTAATAGAAATGTATTTGAAAAAGAAATATGATCAAGGAAAAGAGAAATCTAAAACTTCATAATAAATATATCTCACCAAAAATTTCATAATGTTAAAAATACTTACAAAGTCTTGAAAATGTTATGTTCTATGTTACTTTATAGATATTAGATAAAATAATCTTAGAAAACTGAATTTTTTTTCCTGTTCATACACATGATAGTCACTTCTTAAACTTTATATCTATAAAATACATTAATATATCTATATCTATAAATTTAAAACACATACATTGGTTATCAATATATCCAAATATACCCAAATTAGTTATCAGTATACAAAACTTGGTTATAAAGATACAACATTTACAGAAAACCTTTTTCATTTAAATCATATAAAGAAGTTTCTGGCATACTCTAAAGTAAACAAGCTTGCAATATATACATCAATTCCAAAGAAACTTCACAGGAACTTTATAACTTCCTAGGAGCTCACTATCATGTGGTGTAGGCAATATAGCTAGCTCTGAGTACGATGAGGAAAATGTTCTGAGTAGGATCCATTTGCCTTGTAAACCTGTGTTTCTGTTCAAAAAGTAACTTTGATTTTAGGACCTGAGGATGTTCCTTAAGGATGTTCATCTAGGATGCAGGTTTTCAATTTACCTAGAATTGATGCTAATGACACACTAAGACCTTCCCTAGTCCTTTTTAATCATGCTTATGTAACTGAACCATTCATAGTCAGGAACAGGCTCACACATGAAGATTACTTATAACAAACACAATGCTTTAAAAATTGTAAAGTTTATCACGATTAATTCCACTCTAATCCTGAGTCTTGATTTCTATCATCACCTAATTTACAAAGCAAAACAAACAAACAAACAAAAAAAACTCTAAAGTTCAAAAAAGCACACTGTAACATCAGATGACCTGAAGTCAAAAGCTTATGTGGCTTTTTGAAAATCAAGAACAACTGAGCCTTGCTTTCCCTTTTCATAAAAAGTAGTAAAAACACCGGTCTAATGGTGTCTTGGAGAATAAACTACACACCACACTCAGAATACCCAGAACAGTGCCCAGTGTATAGTAGGACTCAGTTGATAGAAGAAAATTTCTTTCTTTTCTATTTTATCCTCAAAGAAATTTTCTGTATTATAAAACACTGAAAATTATACTATGCATAAAAACATCAGTCCTGAATAGACAAAATATTTGTTTTTCATCACCAATAAATTTTCTATCAGTATTACAAGTTGTAATAACTGAGATAAAAAATGTAGAAAGCATTAATTATAAAAACAATCACTGTAATATGTAACAGTATACTAATTATACTACATCAGAGAATGTGAAGCAGAAGATTAACAATAAAAGGAAAGATCTTTCAATGCAGAAATTACAACTTTAGTATCACAAATAAATTATTTCAAGGTAATTAATTATACTAATTATACTTAAATGCTAATAATTACTTACATGTTTCCCACCTGCATGTTTCCCTTTCACCTTAGTTTCACACTTGGGAAAGATGTCCCCAAGGATTTTATCTTCAATGCTGCTGGTTATATACATCCGTTTTTTCCCGAAGTCTCTAATAATTTTCTCCTGCTGCTTTTTATACAAAAACAAAAGGCTGAAGATAAGGGGAGAGGAATTATCCATTAGTTTTTTGAAAAAAATAAATTAAAACTAAAGATGAACTTACAATATCTTAGAAATTATGGTGACAAATATAATGTACTAATAAATATAAAGTGATAACATAGTATAATACATATATAATATGTGATAAATATTTTAAATCTATACCCTATAACGCTGTATAGAAACTAAAGTTTGTTCATCAATACATATCAAGGGAAAATGAATGCTTAGAAATTTCATCTGATACAAACCCATTAATCTATTCTTTTTTCATATCTGGTTATGTATTTTGAAATATAAAGGCAAGAACAACATGAATAAATTATCAATAGGAATATAAGATAATCAGTGGTGGGCTAAGTGGGTCTGAGGCATCTACATCTACCTCCCCATTCCGGCTGCGCTCAGAGAACTGTGGAGTTTCCAGCAAGTAGGCGGGCGCACACTATCCCCGGAGCCCAGCCTATTTGGGACTCTTGCACTCTCTGGGCAGATCTGGGGCGCCTGAATCCGCCTCCCCGAGTGTATGGAGGACTGTGGATTTCTCAGCAAGCAGGCGAGCATCACCAGTTCCAGAGGCCCCGCAGCCTGCGATAAATGCCCAGTGCACTCGGCCCCAAGCCCAGACTGTTTCGGGACTCTCGAGCCTTCTGGGTGCTGTAAAGTGGCTAAGTTGGCCCCTGGCACCTACATTTGCCTCCCCATTCCGGCTGTGCTCAGAGAACTGTGGAGTTTCCAGCAAGCAGACAGGGGCCAGTGTCCCTAGAGGCTTGCTTATCTGGAACTATGGAGTTCTAAACAGGCAGAAGAGGGCCACTGGTTCTAGAGGACCAGCAGCCTAGGGAAACTGGGTGCCAGAATGCCACGAGCTGTGAACATATAAGTGGATTTCCATGAGACTCTGAGGAAGCTTTTGAATAACACATGAAACACAGAAATACAGGAAAATGACAAAACAAAAGACCAAATTACAACCTCAAACCTCCAGCCCATATCAAGAAACCTTAGGAGCAATGTATATAGAAGAAAATACACACCATATACCTCAAATATTGGACATAATAGCTACTGAAATAAACAAGCAACTCCAGGAAGCTTTAAAGGAATTCAAATGTGAAATAATCTCCCAGGTAAAAAAAGAAATGATAAAAGAAATGAAAGAGATGCTGAATATATCTAAAGAAAAAAACAGTTAAAAAATTGGAGGAACTAAACAAAAATATAGAATCCCGAGATGAGCAATATAACAAACAAACACAATATATAAAGGAGATGCACAGAGATATACAGGAAATAAAAAACTCCACTGAAAGCTGTAAAAACCACCTCAATGAAAGTGAAAATACAATTTCAGACCTTGAAGACAGGATTGCAGCTAGAACAGGAAAGGAAAGATCTTTTAAAAATAACAAGGAATCAGGAAATAACAATTCAACAACTGCAAGATGATGCAAAGAAAATTAACATACGATTGATAGGGATTAATGAAAAAGAAGGGGACAACATAAAGGATGTCAAGAGAGTATTTAGAGAAGTAATAGCTGAAAATTTCCCTAGCATGAGATCAGAAACTGACATCAGGTACAGTGAAGCCTATAGAACTCTAAATAGCCATAACCAAAATAAAACTACACCCAGACATATAATAATCACCATCCCAGAAATCCAACACAAAAATAGATTATTAAAAGCTGTCAGTGAGAAAAGACAGATCACTTATAAAGGAAAACCTATGAGAATCATAGCAGACTTCTCAGCACAAACAATAAAAGCAAGAAGAGCATTGGAGTGAAGTATTACAGATCCTAAAGCAAAATGCTTTCCAACCTAGACTGATGTACCCTGAAAAACTGTCATTCAAAAATGATGGTGATACACGATACTTCCATGACAAAGAACAGCTGAAGAACTTCATAAACACCAGGTCAACTCTGTAAAAAATATTGAGAGACAGTTTAGATACACAAAAGAAAAATCACTAAGCAAAGCAGATAATTAAACAACAGAAAGATAAAGATGCAACAGCAGAGAGATAACATGTCAACAATAAACCAGCATATAACAGTTATAACCATTAATGTAAATGGTCTCAATAAGCCAGTCAAAAGAAATAGACTAGCAGAATGGATCAAGAAACAAAATCCAACCATATGCTGTTTACAGGAAAACCATCTAACCCAGAAGGATACTCACAGACTGAAAGTCAAAGGATGGAAAACAATACTTCACACAACAGGAATCCAAAAAAAAGCAGGAATAGCCATTCTGTTTGCAGACAACATGAACTTTAAACCGACAATGATCATAAAGGACAAACAAGGTTACTTCATACTCGTTAGGGGAAAACTCCAAGAGGAAGTGATAAGTATCTTAAATATATATGCACCAAACTACAGAGCTCCCAGTTATATAAAACAACTATTAACAGAAATGACAACTCAAATTATCAGTAACACAATTGTAACAGGAGACCTTAACATGGCATTGACACCAAGGGACAGATCAACCAGACAGAAAATGAGCAAAGAAATAACAGAACTCAATCACACCTGTGAAAAAATGGACTTGATAGACATATATAGAATGCTCCACTCAAAAACATCAGAATACACATTCTTCTCAGCAGTACATGGGTCATTCTCTAAAAAAGACTATATATTAGCTCACAGAACACATTTAAACAAATGCAAAAGAGTTGAAATCATCCCTTGCATGTTATCAGATCATAGCGCTCTGAAATTAGAAATTAATGATAAAACATACTGCAAAAATCCCACAAGCACATGGAAACTGAATAACACACTCTTGAGTAATCAGTGGGTCACAGAAGAAATTAAAGAATAAATTAAACAATACCTACAAGAAAATGAAAATGCAGATACAACTTACCGGAATCTGTGGGATGCAATGAAAGCCGCCCTCAGAGGAACATTTATTGCACTGAGTTCCCACATCAGGAAAACAGAACGGATACAAATAAATAACCTGATGCTACACATCAAACAGCTAGAAAAAGAAGAGCAAGTCAAGCCCAAAGCCAACAGAAGAGAGGAAGTTATAAAAATCAGAGCAGAAATCAATGCAATAGAGACTGAGAAAACAATCCAAAGAATCAACGAATCAAAGAGTTGGTTCTTTGAAAGAATAAATCAAATCGATAAGCCCCTAGCCAACTTTATTTTAAAAAGGGAAGAAAAAGCTCAAATTCATGCAATAAGAAATGGAAAAGGTGAAATAACTACAGACTTTACAGAAATACAGAAGATCATCAACACCTATTTTGAAAACTTCTACTTTCAAAGATTTGATAACACAGAAGAAATAGACAGATTTCTAGAAACATATGAAGTACCAAACCTAGATCAAGAGGATGTAAAACTGCTGAATAACCCAGTCTCTATTAATGAAATTGAAAATGTAATTAATGTCCTTACCTACAAAGAAGAGCCCAGGCCCAGACGGATTCACTGCAGAATTCAACAAGAAATACAAAGAAGACCTAATGCTGACACTCCTCAAACTATTCAATGACATTGAAAGGGAAGCAATCCTTCCTAAGTCATTCCTGGAAGCAAATACTCTAGTACCAAAACCTAAGAAATACCCAACTAAAAAAGAGAACTATAGACCGATCTCCCTAATGAACACAGATGCAAAAATCCTCAATAAAATATTGGCAAATATGATGCAGCAAATCATCAAGAAGATTATACACCATGACCAAGTGGGACTCATCCCAGGAATGCAGGGATGGTTCAACATATGTAAATCAATAAATGTAATCTATTATATCAATAAAGAAAAAAAGTAAGAATCACATGATCATTTCTATAGATGCAGAAAAAGCCTTCAATAAGGTCCAATATTCATTCATGATAAGAACTTTACAGAAAATTGGAATAGATGGTCTTTACCTTAATATAATATAATATAATAATATAATAGATGGTCTTTACCTTAATATAATAAATTTATGACAAACCAACAGCCAGCATCATACTACATGCCCAAAAATTGAAAGCCTTTACTTTAAAATCAGGCACAAGACAAAGATGTCCTTTATCACCAATCCTATTTAATATAGTACTGGAAGTACTAGCCAGAGCAATTAGACAAGAGAGAGAAATAAAAGGGGTAAAGATAGGAAAAAAAGAAGTTAAATTTTCATTGTTTGCAGATGACATGATACTCTACATAGAAGACCCCCTAAACTCCATTGAAAGACTCTTAGATATAATAAATTCAGTAATGTAGCTGGATACAAAATCAATACTCAGAAATCAATAGCATTCCTCTACACTAACAAAAAAATCACAGAGAGGGAAATAAGAGAAACCACACTCTTCACACTAGCAAGCAAAAAAATGAAATATTTAGGAATTACTCTTACGAAAGAAGTGAAAGACCTATAACGGGAAAATTATAATACACTGAAAAAAGAAATTGAAGATGATCTCAGAAAATGGAAAGATATCCTATGCTCATGGATATGAAGAACAAACATTGTGAAAATGGCCATTCTCCCAAACCTGTTATATAGATTCAATGCAATCCCAATAAAAATATCATCAACATACCTTATAAATCTAGAGAAATCACTCCTAAAATTCATCTGGAACCAGAAGAGACCTAGAATAGCAAAGGCAATTCTAAGCAGCAAAGGCAAGGCAGGAGGCATCACATTCCCTGACTTGAAGTTATACTACAAAGCAACAGTTAGTAAAATCAACATGGTACTGGAATCAAAACAGAGCCAAAGATCAATGGAATAGATTAGAAGATACAACCACAACTACAAAAGCACTCAACCACCTTATCTTTGATAAAGGAGCCAAGCAGGTTCATTGGAAGAATGACAGTCTCTTTAATAAATGGTGCTGGAAAAACTGGCTCTCCATTTGCTGAAAACTAAAGCTAGACCCATGTCTATCACCATGTACTAAATTAAAATCTAAATGGGTCAAAGATCTGAATATTAAAACAGAACAC